CTCAGAATCATGCATTTTTGTTTTATAATATGTTTATTTAAAATTTTACCAATACAAGCATTTCGGAAATAATCATTTCTTCAATTAATGCAATGAGCTTTGATTGATATGCTGTTTAAAAAGTATAGGAAACCTAACAATATTGATTTTTTTTGTTTTTAAATAAAATACAATTAATTTAAAATAGTTTCATATATTTTTTGATGTCTTTAATGTTCCAAATTAGTGAGCAGTTTGAGTTTTGTAAAATTTCTATATTTTTATTTTTATTTTTCCCATTAATAAATATTATATATATAATTAATCCCTAAAATTTTAGAACTAACTAGATTTAAATATAAGACACATTTTTTTACTTGTAAAAACAACGTTTTTATTTATACGCAGTGAAACTTCAGTATATACTATTTGATATGAAGATTGTTACTTGAATTATTTTCGATGGTCTATAAGGGTTAATATATTAAGTCACATTATAATAAATATAGATAGTGATGGGAATTTTTAACCCTACACTTAATAACTCCAAGTTATTAATAGCTAATAACCACTTATTAACTGTTGCACTCTGGGCAAGAGTCATTAATCCAAAAGATCCATTTTCAATCAATTCCGGTGTATAGGATTCAGTGTGCAGAATGTGCTGTGCTAACCAAAACCAGCAGATTTGGGAAAAATAATTATCAAATTTGGTTAGCATGCACACTCCCGCACACTATGCACACTCATCACTTAAACTAAATTAATTATTTAACTTGTTCATCAAATTAATATTTGATTAAACGATTCAAATAATTTTTGCTATATACCAATAAGAGATCTGCACGTTTGTCTTTTTAACACTTAATAAGTCATCGATAGAGTTATTAAGTACTTAATAACTCTGTCATTTTTCAAAATAGTTTTTACGCCCATCACTAAATATAGAGATATACTTCAAAAAAAATTATTTTTAATTAAGTATTAGTATTGCGGTGATAATCACCACTGGTGAGAAATAGCAATCCTTTTAATATTAAACAAAAATAAACAATTATGAGATGTCAAGAAAAAGCAACGTGACTGTTAAAGAAAAAAATTTGATGTGTAATGTTTGATTATTCAGAAATTGGAGTACATACACTATTTTAAACACTATACAGTCATTTCCACATTCCTCATGTTGACAAAGCTAATTTGGCTGCACTGCCCCTGATGATATAATGATCCAACTGACTTCCAGGGAGGGAGTAAGGACCTGGAATTTATCAATTTGCATCATTATCAAGGATGTTTCTGTGGATCCTACCTAATCCTCCCTCATAGCACCTGAGCTGGCATTACTTGGATATGTGTAATGGTTGACTTGTTTCCTGCAACAATCCTACCTTTAGGGTAAAGGTAGCTGGCTCTGCAATCAAGGAGTTGCAACTTGTGTTGAGGAGTTGTAATGTTAGATGCTAAATAAACATATAGATTCATCAAAACAATGAGAGCCTGGAACTTGTTTCAAGCTAAGGAAGAATTTGCAATTCAGAGTGGAGGTTCGGAATTTGTGCACAGAGTTGCTCTTTGAAAATAAACTAATGCTATGGGTGAAATTAGTACATTCACCAATGGCCCATTCCGGAATTAGGTGAAATTAATTCCGCCCAATGACTGAAATGCCGAAGGCAAAATTAATTTCGTCTTCGGTGATTGGCTAAAATCACAGTTATGTGATAAAGAAGCTCTCTTATTGACTGTTAGTTGTGTAATAAATATATATCACCA